TGTAGAGATTCCACCTGCAGCCCGTGGAGGACCCCACACCAGAGCAGGTGGAGGCACCTGAAGGAGGCTGTGACCCCGTGGGAAGCCCGCGCTGGAGCAAGCTCCTGGCAGGACCTGTGGATCCGTGGAGAGAGGAGCCCACGCCAGAGCAGGTTTGCTGACAGGACTTGTGACCCCGTGGGGGACCCCACGCTGGAGCAGTCTGCTCCTGAAGGTCTGCACCCCATGGGAGAGACCCACACTGGAGCAGTTTGTGAAGGATTGTCTCCTGTGGGAGAGACTCATGTTGGAGCAGTTCATGAAGGACTGTCTCCCATGAGAGGGACCTCACACTGGAGCAGGGGAAGAATGAGAGGAGTCCTCCCCCTGAGGAGGAACAAACAGCAGAAACACCGTATGATGAACTGACCGTAACCCCCATTCCCCGTCCCCCTGTGCCACTGAGGGGGGAGGAGGTTGAAGCCGGGAGTGAAGTTGAGCCCGGGGAAGATGGGAGGGGTGGGGGGAGGTGTTTTAAGATTTGGTTTTATTTCTCATTCCTCTACTCTGTTTTGCTTGGTAATAAATTAGATGAATTTTTCTCTAATTTCAGTCTGTTTTGCTTGTGACGATAATTAGTGAGTGATCTCTCCCTGTCCTTATCTCAACCCACAAGTGTTTTGTTGTAGCTTTTCTCCCCTGTCTAGTGAACAAGGGGAGTGGTGGAGCGGCTCTGGTGGGCACTTGGCCTCCAGCCAGGGTCAACCCACCACAGCACACTGCTATACATCCAACCATAGTAAAGAGAATCAACTCACAACATTTAAGTTTGACTAGCTTCTCCTTGGTCTAGATTATGATAATTACAAAGGTAATAACAGCTTTACTTCATCGTGCAGCTTTAAAGTGTAAATTTCTACTAATGTTCTGCTGAAAATTAAGTTAGAGTAATCTGAAGTCTTCTATTACTGATATAGCTCTATTTTTTCGTAATAGGTCTGTTCCACCCATGATACAGCCTAGGTTAGTAAAAAAATTAAAACAAATCCCAAATCTTTGCATTACGCAGACACTTAGTCTTTTGTTCTGGGTAATACGGTGTATGCTACAGGACTGATTAAGCACATTATGCAATAACTGCACGCTGAAATTGCACAATTTCTTTTCACTCAGAATAGTGGAGTTTACTGCCCACCCTGAAAACAGGAGTAACTCTTGCTTTATGTCATTTGTTTATAGGGACTGCAACAAAACAGTAAACTTTCTGGTTTACACTGGCAAAGCACAAAACCCAAACAAATTTAAAAAAGCCCAAACAGAAGTAGCCCCTGAAGTCTGTACATATTTTCAACTACAGTAAGTGGTAACTGAATTAACTACGAGCAAATGTTATTTTTAATTATGAACCACTGCTACACATCATAGAAAGTCTAAAAAGACTGTAAATCTGGAATCAATGGAACACAATTCTTGACTACTTACGTCTCAAATTCAGCATAAGGTAATTTAAGATACAATAAGGCAAAACAAAATATTTAAACCTAGAGTAAACTACTAATTCCAAAAATGGTAAAAAAATCCCCCAAAATTTGTGAGTTTAAAAGAATGCACAATCAGAGCACAACTTTCTTTGGCTCTCATTTAGGGCTCTCATTTAGACCTTAAAACATCTTAAAGCTATCATTTATTTTCTATGACCTTCCACTGTAGTAGCCAGCTTTTTTTTTTTTTTTTTTAAATGAGAAATATTCAGGTCTTGATTCAAAAAGAAAGAACTTAGTCTGTGGCAATGGTGTATGCAGTATTTCGAACTGGCTCAATGATGGCTTAAGATGCCTTCAGATAAAGTCATTCCTCTGCAGATCTCATCCCCACATTCATACACAATCCTGGGAAGGTCAAAGGAATGTTTAAAAGCTGTTGCCACTTTAACAAAAAGATTGTATCTTCTACTGATCTTAGCCATTATTAGCTCCTTGAAAATAGGTTGGGGAAAAAGTCCTGTTTTTAAAAAACACAAGACTGAAAAACTGGGGCTATTTAAAAAGCCAGTACAGGTATCTGATAGGCTAGAAACTTGTCCTAGCCACAGTTTTACTTCAGCAATGTGTTCCTTGCTCTTTACGCAACAAATACTATATGAAAATACCGTACAACAGCAGTATCTGAATTTTATTTTACACAAATTCACAGATACTGCAAAGGACATTTGATAAAGGACAGGGCCACAAAATATTTCAAGCAGTACTCCACTGACACTCGGTCTACTGTGCTGTCTGCCTTCCCACATATTCCCTATTCTGCACTTGTATGAGAAGGCTATAGCTACCATTTCTCTGCAGATCTGTAGTACCAACTGAAGTACAATAACAAGTATAGCCCCTGCATTCTTTCAAACTCCCAAGTTTCATTTGCATTAATTGCTTCAAATGATGCACTATGGACACAATTGAGCACTGCCCTTAATTAAGTCATAAAAATCTCCTAGTAAGCAGTACAAGATGTTCTGCATTCTTCAGACCTTAGAGATCAATTTTTTAAGCGGGATATAGATAAACTCACAGCATTGCAGAAAATTATTTCATACATGTACAATATACTGTTAAATTTATTTTAACCTTTACTCCTGACCAAGCTTATTTTCTTAGTTGTGTCTTTTGCAACATTACATTATACATATTCATGAAATTCAAGTACCCATGGGATGAAAAGACCATTCTAAGAAATCACCGGTGCTCTGTTAGTCTAATTTTGTTTGCCATCAAGGCAACTTTAACAAGTTACTATGGCATCCCCTATTGTACACCACAATCAAAGCATCACTGTCACTACCTTTCTAGCCTTATTCTAAGTAATCTATGCATCTCTGTACAGTTTTAAGTTCTTAGAATCCACTGTAGTACTATGGATGGGTCAAAAATGTGTGGGAAATAACGAGAGGAAAAAGGTAGCATCTTCATATTACATTGTTTTCATACTTTCAATGCCACAGACAATTTTTCAGTCCTGTGTTTCCATAACCTTAAGAATGTGTCATACAAGGTTTCTGAAAGCATGCATAAAATTGGGAGTACTACTTTCTAAAAATCAGTGCCTAAGAGCAAGCTGGGTATAGCTGCCATTTGCAACAGACAATACCATTCACAGGTCAAATGTGATGAATCAATTGAGGGACAGAACAGGTTTCGGAAAAGAAAATGGGGCTAGAATTGTAATTTAAGGTTAAGAGCACAAGCTTGTCAATGAAAGGGCACACACTCAGGCTACAAATCAGACATCAACAGCATGACCTTATAAAAAACACATAATCTGAAATTTAAAAATAATCAGATTTTATTCCCCATAAATATAGGTTGGTTTACACAGACACAAAACATATCTGCAGAAAAAGACGTTTTTTCCCTAAGCGCTAAGAGGTATTAACAGAAAGAAGGTATTAACACCTCCCTACTCCCCCCTCACCCCCAGACTCTCCCTTGACCAATCTATTTGCAGGTTCTGGAAATTTATTTCCAGGTTTCCAGATTTTAAAAAAGTCTATTCTCAGAACTACAGACTTTAGGAAAAACTGTCTCTAAAAGCTACAAAAATATATCAGCAATGGCTACCAAAAAGTAACTGATAGATGAAACAGAGCTGTAGCATCATCCCTGCCGAAATAAATTAAAATAAGGTTTAAGTCCAGTATCTAGGAAGATCAGTGCCACCACCAGTAAGTCAGTATAAGTGCTGAAATGATTGTTTTAAACAATTACAAGAAAAACCTGTCGAAAGTCTCCCAAAAAGGAAGAATCCTTGCCCTGCACTTCCACACTGATACTTGTACTAGTGAATTTATAACATTACCAATCTTGCCATCTCTTTACAAAGTAACATCCCAGGACCTGAAAACAGGTCACTCCAGTTCATATGGTTACTATCAAACGTCAGGAAACGCTTGAAATCAGAAGAGTTAGGATAATGAAATTATAATCCTAATTGTAGTAAAATGACTTCATGCAATGCTTAAGTTGAGAAGCATTCTGTCTGTATCTTTAAACAAGTAGTAACATCACCAGTTCCAGAAGTAAAAGAAAACAAAAGGGCTAATTTGGATTTACATGTAAATTTCCAGTTTACCAACAATAATTTACCAATTCAGTCTTCAGCTGCTCAAAGCTTATATAAACAGTACTGCAAACCAGAACCAGAGATCTACCCTTCTCAAAGCTCAGGCAGTAAAATAAGTCACAGCATCTATCCACTTCAGCCAACTTTAGAACAAGAGATTGAAAAGCTAGATTTTTAACTTTTCGTAAACTTATACAGCATGTAACAGATTAGGAAGTAAGATATCACTCAGAAGATAAAGATAAATTGAAACAAAGTGCTTCTGGCACTGACTAGGCTGTTTCATATGACCTGTAAAAAACCAGTCTTTTCCTGACTGAATTAATATTCAGCACAGGTCTGACTGGTATCAGTAAAAACGACTGGGAAACTGCTACTGACTAAAATACTGAGTTCTAAGTTTAAAAAAAAAATCATTAGCAGAGACCAACAGACATTTCAGGCTTCAAAACAATTCTCTAAATCTTTCAAAGCTAAACCTCATAGGTATTTGGACAACCAAGGGTGAAATAAGAGTTAAGAATTCAAATTCCGAGGGTCTGCAAACAAGTTCATTTTAAGTTTCAGTATCCTGAGAAACTCAATTACTTTAACTTTCTTCAGGGCTCCTAAAACTTTCTTCTCTGATATCTTCAGAGTCTAATCCATTTAAATGCATTCTATTGATCTTACCAACGTTCCACTCTAATTCATATTAATGATAATTTCAAATGTGACTGGTTTAAGGCTGTTTTGACATTCTGATTATTTGTCTTTTTTTCCAATAGACTCTGTGAACATTCCTCTCTGGGTATGAAAGTTATAACACTTATGGAGTCCTGTGTGATTGTAATATCTCTGAATAACCACCTGTCCCTTACCCTGCAAAGTTAACTTTATACTACTACAACATCTATCACTCTCATCCCAAAAGTTAATATGGAAGCAGGGGGGATGGAAATCAGTGTCAGTTTTAGGCAAAGAGGCAGACTTAAGAATTTATTTCTACCCCTTTCTGCCCCATCTCATTCAATGCAGAAATTATGTCCATTTTTCCGGCCCATTGTGGACAACTCATATCCACCTACCTGAGCAGGAGTCTCAAGTTTCATAATACAAGTTTCCTCCAAAAAGGCACAGAAACATATATTGTCCATTGTGAAAGCTACTGTGATTGACTATGGACTTTATGATGGAGTGGTGGGGGTTTTTTTTTGGTTTTGGGGGTTTTTTTGGTTTTGTTTTTTTTTAACTTTATTTTTTTCCTCCCAACAAACTTACTTCCAGCAGCAGGAACTAAACTACAGTGGGACACTCCTCATTCCATGCCTCTCCTACCAGAATTTTATAATATTAATGCAGTAGTTTTCATTTACTGTTTGTAAAGCAACCTCTTGGTAAGTTTCTTTCAGAAACACATCTCTGAGTTATCAGTAGTGGGGACAACAGCAAAGTTATGATATAAACTAGTATCTCAGATCTGCCATGAAATGTTTCTGGTAAAAAGAAAAAACTTACAGTAGCCAGTGCAGATTTAGATACCTAAAAGCCCACTACTTGCTTCATGGTTATGAATAAATATGATCCATTTTTCACAACTGACAGCCCTCATTAGAAAACAAAAATATTCATGTGTAAGCTGGTATTGAGCAAAGCATAACGTTAAATAGCTGATCTATCTTTAAAACATGTTTACATGCTCATTAAAATTAGCATAGATATATTTTGTTTAGTCCTTCTAAGAGATGTTCAGGCATATTTTCAAGGTTCTTAAGAGCACCAGCGAAGATCAGTATATTTTTGGTAAACAGCTGTAATATTAAGAACTAGCATTAAATATTGAAATATGGGAATCACAGTCAGTACAATCAACATTCCTCAGTACATCCAATGCCACACTCCCATTAGTGTTGCAATACCACCTGGTTTTAAGCTCACCCATAGGCCCTTTCAGTCAGCATTGCTGCTTGCAAACCCATTAATGCATCTCAGCAACAGTTAAGCAAGCAAAACAGTCTTCTGCAACTATTTCTTGTCACTGTCAAGAAGGAACTATCCTGCTCATTAGAGAAAACACAGATGGACAATCCCACACAACCATTTTGAGATTAAGGCAGGGAGGCATGCAGTGACCTGACATGCCTCTCCTGCAGAGCATTAAAGCCTCCAAGATCTATTTGTTAATTAACATATTAATACAGTACAAGTACCACAAGAACAAGCATTATTATCTAAACTATCTTTCTTAGTATTACTTTATAGCAAAGACTTTTTTTCTTCTTTCAAAGTTTCTCCTGCTTCTGATGCAGTGTCTTTCAATGTGTAAACTATTCCCAGGAAGGCCTCTACAGAATTATCAAACAACAACAGAGACGATCTGAATGATTTTCAAATGCATTTAGAACATTAATTGTATATGTGTTGGTTTTGCGTGGCAAGGTT